CCGGGGACCCTGTCCCCATCCCCGCCCTGTCCCTGGGGATCCTGTCTCCAGCCCTGCCCTGTCCCCGGGGACCCTGTCCTGATCCCTGCCCTGCCCCCGGGGACCCTGTCCCCTTCCCAGCCCCATCCCTGGGGACCCTGTCCCCATCCCCGCCCTGCCCCCGGGGACCCTGTCCCCATCCCCATCCTGTCCCTGGGGACCCTGTCCCCTTCCCCACCCTGTCCCCATCCCCGCCCTGTCCCTGAGAACCCTGTCTCCTTCCCTGCCCTGCCCCCCAGGACCCTGTCCCCTTCCCCACCCCATCCCTGGGGACCCAGTCCTGATCCCTGCCCTGCCCCTGGGGACCCTGTCCCCATCCCTGCCCTGCCCCTGGGGACCCTGTCCCCAGCCCCATGCTGCCCTCAGCCCCTTCCCTCTCCAGCCTCTGGGGACCCAGTCCTGATCCCTGTCCTGCCCCTTGGGCACCCTGTCCCCATCCCCATCCCACCACTGTCCCTGTCCTGTCCCCACGGTGCCCACTGCCCCATCCCGTCCCAGTGCCCCCAGTTCCCCACTGCCCTGTCCCTCTGGCCCGGGGGAAGCCCGGGTGTCCGGCTCACGGGGTCCGTCACTTCTTTGTGGTGCGGGCCAGAGCCGGGGTCTCAGCCCGTGTGTCAGGACGGGGCAGAGGCTGGAGCTGGCGGCTCCCCCGGCACCGTCCTGCGGTTCCCGAGGCGCTTGGTGTCCCCAGGGCCAGGATGGGGCAACCCCTGCGCCATCCCCCGGGTGGGAGCCGTGCGAAGCCGGGCCACGTCCAGCGACACCCAGAAAAGCGGGTGAAATCGTGGGGTCTGTCCCCACCGGCACTGGGGCCGGCCCGGCCTCGCAGCCCGGGGCAGGAGCCCGAAGCCTGGGGCTGGCAGCGAAGCAGGAGCGCTGGCACCCCAGGTGGCACCCGCAGCCCCGGCACCGAAACCAGAGCCAGCCCGTCCCACGCTGGGCTGAAGGGTGTTTCCCGGCCTCGGACGTGTCCCCAACACCCATCCAGGCTTTGCAGCGCATCCCTTGGGACCCTGCCAGTCTCGGCCAGGGGGACACGGCCCCGGGATGGGGACAGGGATGGGGACGGGGTGGGTTCACCCCGCGGCAGCCGCTGCCCCCCGGGGCCGAGGCA